TCCCACGAGTACCATTACCTGGGTTGGAGAGCACCGTCGATCTTCGGCCAGCTCCTTACAAATCCACTGCACAAGATCTGCACGAGCACCTCTCTTATCCTCTTTTGCGTTCGTTATTTCTCTTTATGTATGGGTCTTCTATTCTTTCGAAGTCATGCATAACTGGTAGCTCATCTCAAACACTGAACACTAATTGCGAAGCAGTTGGTTTTAATTCCCAGGACTGACTTTCTTCTAACCTTGGCATTGGTCAAATAATCTATCGTATTCTTGTTGAGCAAACACTAGGTTGTTACTTTATTCTTTATTCACGGAAAAAAAACTGACGTTCTGGTGTATTTCGGCTTCTTCAGAGCATGGAAGAACTGAGTTGACTGCCATTTAGTCAGGCAAACACTTCCATAACTTCAACGGAAAAATCACGAGACCTAAATTTTAGTCGAATTGAAAACATTCTACCTTCTTCACACCGCTCTTTATGAGTCTTCTACCGAATACGTAGAAACGTAGGCGTCAAGCTCATGGAGTTCACATGGAAGGGTAACGTGCCTCTCTCACTTTAAAATAGTAATCTTAAGTTCTAAGTCTTCAGTTATAGTTAAGTTTAAAGTCTTAAGTTGAAGTAAGTCCTCAAGTAAAATAAGTCTCATACTGTGTGAGATTACATATGATAACGAGACATCCCCTTTTGCGGTTTATTTTTGAGTCCTTGGAATTTACCTAGAAGTAAAAATGTTAAATAAATGATAGATAATATTAGGCAATATAAAAATAGTATTAATAATATAATATAGTATAATCTATAACATAATAACATAATATAATACAATAAGAAAGACAAATAGGGGAATAGCACAATAATTAGTGATGCCTTCGATCAGAAAGAACCAAAGGCCTTTGTTTGATCCCTTCCCTAACGCACCCTCCAATCCACGTGGGAACGCCTTAGCCCGGCTATCTCCAAGATTGCAAGGAGAACTAACTGGACCAGCATTCTGCGACATGCATAAGAATACTCAATCAGCGGCCGGAATAACACACGAAGTGCTCGGAGATCTTCGTGGACGATGAATGCCAGGAATCGAAGGCAGCGAGTGCTGGGATCCGTACAGCAAATGTAATGATATGATAGGTCATGTAATATGTATATATATATATATATATATATATATATACATATGTGTATATATGTATATAATGTGATATGATATGACGCAGTGTATACATAATATAATATATGATATAATATTAAATAGTTACCTAAATAGTTTTATTGGTTTATTAGTTGGTAGACATAGGGTCAAACCGAATACTCCTTTGATCGCACTGTACACAGAGACAAAACAAAGGAGATTTCGAAGTAGAAGCTACCATCCTGGCACAGGAATGGAAAATTCGGGGCACAAAACTCTAAAAGCATTATGGACGTATTCCAGTAATCTAAAAATGAACCGCACAGAGGAATGCCTCGTTATCACTCGTGATCTCACAAATATTTCAGCGTGATGTTTTAAAGTGAGAGAGGCACATTACCCATTCATGTAAACTCTGTGCGGTTGATCTCTACGTGGAATATTCAGTAGAAGACTCATAGACATCGGTGAGTGTGCAAAGAAGCTATTCTGTTTCCAATGCGATTGAAATATTGGTTTCTTGTTTTTCTGTTTTGGTTATAGAGGGGTTTGGCTGACTGAATTGTGGTCAACTTGACCTGTGACCTATCCAGGCTCTAAAGAAGGCTAAATAAGCCAAGACGTCAGCTTTTTTGTGAATAAAGGATAAAATAACAGCCGCATAATTGCTCATCAAGAAAACACTGAATTAGCTAGCTTTAATTCATAAGCTCATTTTGGGATGGCTCATATCAAGGACCGCTGCTAACATGAAGAAGGATCTGGCAAGATAACAAACTTTTCTTCAAATATTGGTGACTGGCCTTAGTAAATGCGTATTCAGAAGGAGACTTCCTGACAGCGCATGATATTCCTGAAGACCTGATCGATTAGCTTTCAGTTAAGTGGAAGAAAAGAAAATTAAGTATACATAAGGTATCACTTTAGATATGCCTTTTCTCTGTTCTGTCGTACAGAACCGGCAATAGTGCGCAGAGGAGATATAACAGTGGAAGCTCCTTTCTCCCACCGTAACCTGCTGGCATGCAACTACAGTTATCCAATAGCCCGGTGCAATCACAGTCCATTCCGAAACACGTTTCATCGGCATACCGCTGCATTCATTCAGCAACAGAACATTCCTACTAGCATCTTTGTTGTTCTTCATTGTTATCCTTCACCGTGCTCACGAATATCGTAGCACAACTAAATTTGGGTTTATCGGCATCACCTTTGAGGACAAGACTTTACATCAAGGTTGAGTTGTTCTCATTGTCGTTCGAATACACGTTAGTAAGTGGATTTTTGCACTAGTTGTCGTACTATACGGACAAGCCTGGAGATTTGGATGCACATTGAGATGAATGCGGACGAATACGTTGCAGCCTTGCCTCCCTTACAATAGTGTCCCATAGCCAATTGAAACGAGTCTCTCCATAGCGCCTTTTACGAATTTCAATATTGCTGGTATCGAAGAGATCGCAGTCACGACATAAATTGATTAATTAGCTTACGGAAGACATAGTCGGCATACACACATAGAGAGAGGTGTGTTTGTCGCCTGTCCAGAAATTTCCCAGTGTCATGTACGTTGTGCCGTTCGACCCGCTGCTTTTAGTACAGGTCATACGTTTTCCTATGTCTCTCGTTTAATGGGCTTTCTTAACTCTGTTGATTCAAGATCTGTTTACTTGGAATTTTTCACTCAAAAGTGTAATGTAGTGTTTTCATAGTTGCGTCCATATACTCGTCATGCTCTTACTTTTCTCTTCCATTCTGTTATGGATATAATAATAAGAAGTGACCCTTGATTGGAAATTGCCTTGAAAGCTACGCATCAGAACGAAATTTCAACTTGTTCTAATTATTGCAGCAGAAAGAATATAAATTAGAAAAGAAAGAGTAAATTAACTAAATAATAGGTCGACTGACTTCAGTGGTTCTTTCTGCATAGTTTATAGCCCTGTATAGTCTAGTGTTCGAAGAAAAGGCGTCAAGTTCATGACCTCTATTAATAGATTGAAACCTGTCTAGAGTATAATATGGCGGCGGAATGGTTTCAGCTGGTTGCAGGGCGACTTCCGCCGTCGTTATCGCATCTCAGGGTGGCTTCGGGGGTAGTTTTTGATGAGCACCCTCGGCTCCACACCATCGGCAGCAACCAGTTCTGTCCAGCTAGATACGGTGAAGAATCGATCGCAGCGAGCTGGATGCCTTCCTTCAGTCTCAAGGTTGATATTATATCTATGTGACATCGTCGTCTTTCATCCAGTTTTTCATGCAGTCATCGAAATGTTATGAATTTTTAAAGGACAACTTGTTATTCTTGAATCGAACCTTATCAGAATGCGGTTCTTAGTCTACGTATACTGCAAAAGTTGACGTATGTTGTCTAGTTCAACGAATGTGTTGCTAGTGAGTTAGTGATACTGAGATCTCCTCAAAATTTGACAAAAAACAGCACCTCGATCTTAGGCTTCTCCTACTGCAACTTGATAGGTTGGTTGATGAGGTTCATTTGACATGAAGATCCAGAGAGTCAATACCTTCACAAATTCAGCACCCGTTTTCTTCGGTGGATTTCGACAATACGTTTTTTATCTGGCAAAAGAACTTTTGCAGATCTTGAAAAACTATCTTCTGAGGGAACGACGGTGACTTCTCCTCATGAGGATACGGTTCTCAGCCCACGTGTATTTCTGAGTAGTATGGTCAGTTATGCTGACCTTAGAATTGATTATGTGTGTAAAAAGACTGCAGGAAAACTCGTATATGAACACCTTGTTTACGAAACAAAGACGGAAATCAGACCGTATTCTACTATCTGGAGAAGGGAGACGGTGGGTGGGGTGAAGAGAGCATGTGATGGCTCACACGGGGACTACGCGTCGCGAAACTCGTCCAACCAGTTTTTATCTTCGAGCGCCGCCGCGCCCCGATGTCAGCGAGCCCGAGTGTGCGAGCGCCCAAAGCCCCATTTCTAGCCCTCAACTTCGCCAGTCACCCCTTCCATCATCTTCTATAACTACTTTCACAGTTGTTTACCCACTCTGCAGTCTATACATTGTTTAGTGGGGTATAGGGGTTAAAGTATATCTTGTCCCGTGTTGTTGTTTGTTGTTTTCTCAAGGTCTTGTTTATAGGATACTGGTCCATTTAGTTTGATTTTCTATACAAGATTTCCTCGCGCCATGGAATGGCATTCTTACAACTCACACAATCGTTGATTGTAATGAAGTTTCTATGGCAGCAAAGTAAACGTTATTGGTACCACTTTGTATCACTCTTCTTCAATCAACCAATTTCTTTTTGCCACACAGATGACCATTCACATTGTTTCAATTTTTCGGAAATTCTAAAAATGAGAGGAACCTAGTATGAATTCAGCTGCACTGGTCCTGACTAAAGTCACACGAGAACAAAAAATGTGCTCAGTAATAATGAAACTTCGAGTATGGCCAGTTTTTGCTGGTTATTGAATTAGCCGAACATCACAACTATGGCCTTTTCACGTTTTTTCCAGCTAACAAGGCTTATGCTTCTTCTCCTTTTCGATTTTTCTTTTTCTCTTCTTCCCACTATTTTTTTTTTTGGTATTAATGAGTTCTGAACCCTTTTAATTTGAAGCGAGTTGCATTTTCAGCAACGAAAATGTCGCCTTCTTATGAGCTCTCCACAAAGTCTAGTAGTTGCCTTGAGTCTCTAAGAATGAAGAGAGTGATGTTAAGAAGAAGGGCTAGGATAAAGATGTGGCTGTTTCGTAGGGCTGATAAATGAACCAGAGCTCAGAAATGCAATGTGAGCCAGTAGTACGACCGTTATCCTTCAGCTCGATGTTGTTCCCCTGTGCTTGTCATTTAGACGTCGGTTCCTACTTCTTCTTTCAGAATGCAACAGTCCAAGTTCGTGGTAGTCGAACTTACTACCACGACCTCGGCCATGACTCTGATACAGTATTTGGTGAGTTTCATGATATCTGCATGTGAAATTAAAAGAAGTTCTACGGAAGCGAAAGAATCGTTCACTAAGTGGTGTTTTGGTGGCATATTTTACTAATACAATCTCAACGAGATTACTTAAACGGTTTTCAATATGCCTAAAGAATATTCCTAATAAGTGGGCATATTTTGTACGTTTGGATCGAAGTTCACGACGCTTGAGAATTGTGACGCATTCCAGATCACCAACGGTTTCGACAAATTCGCCGTTGTATCAGATCTTTCGGATCATCCGTCCCTTAAATATAAAGTCACTTCGCAAGCCACACATTCCCAGAACAATGTTGCCGAACGTCACAGCTGTGCTACAGCACAGCCCTCGGAACGGAATGGTAAACCCAGAGCTTCAATCAACGAAATCGCTACGGCATTATCGCGGAAGTCATCGCCTTCACAGCCGAAGAACGGTTTCTGTGTGAGTGAAGCAATACCTATTTAGGTGTTCGATACACTATATTCTAGATTACGATCAAACAAAAAAATCAAGCTGGTGAAAACCGGGCTAAATTTGGTAGATCACGAGTCACTGCAAAAAACCTTGATTGCGATTAGCTGGATAAACCTTCTCAATATAGTGCTTAACAAATGCAAAATTAATTCCAAGCAGTCCCTTACGAAGCCCACTGCAAGTGGTGCAAGCTAGGCTACAGTTTGATGAAGCGATGTTGTTTGTTGATCGCAGTCAAGTTCCCATGAATTGGAGAAGATTTGAACACTTCAAATGGCTCTAGTTATAGCGGTGCACCCTGATGTGAACCGTTATGACGTCGTTCGTGGCAAAATGGGTCCATTGCAATTGCAGTTCACGTGCCCAGTGTCGCTTCTGTTAAAAGCGTTCGAATTCAGTGTCTCTTCTGATACTGGTTTAGTTATAAAAAAGGATAAAGGATAAGGTTCTCGGCGTTGATCAATCCTTGAGGGATGCGCCATGTATTTGATTTCATTGAGCATCGTTTGGAGGTGATTGAATACATACCTGGCCTTTACGATGACTCGTGGTGTCGTACCGATGTATCGAGCCATTGCTGCTATCCTCCCAGACAAGATTCGTACCAATTTGCCGACCTCGGAGGGATAGAAGGCTCGGTGAACCATGGGGGCGGAGATCGATTCTGCGTCTGGTTTAGCTATCAGTAAGAATTCGTGATCGTAATTGAAGATTTGAAAGCGAATGATAAATCCCGGTTTTTACTTCTTCTCACTAATGTCAGCGATTTTTCGAAGTTCTTATTCCTCGTTCGCGCAATATGTAATCCCATAGAGCTAAATCAATGTTTGTGGTGGCGTTTTTAAAATAGTAGCTATTAAGGCTTTTCTCGGTTTTGCAATGTCTATTTCATACGTTGTAAAGTGGATTAATATTGTTTTTGAGCCTACAGTAGTCCACTTTTGTCTACAAGTGTGGAATAGGTAAAAGTACCTTTCTCTCTCTGGGCAGATCGTTTAAAATGGTTGCGAGTGTTTAGCAATAAAATGTGAACTGAAATGGAACGCTACTTAAAACAGCGCATAATTTGGCAATGCCAACTGTAGACGACTTGGGTAGCTTCTTTTACTTAGTCGTTTGCTTCATAGAGCAGTTTTTGCCCTTACGTACTTTGCACCTGACTCGTTACCTACATCTATTTCATATTACGTTCATTCAGCTGATTATGATAGCTATTAAATAAGAGCACAAGTGACCTTAACTCATACATTTAAACGGAGTCCGCACGAGTGATATTCGTGAAATCGTTCTTGTTTTCAGCTACTTTCACCTCGATCGGCATTAAGAACACATCTGAATGGCGGTGAGAATGCGAAGACTACCAGCGCATTGTCGCGGATTCTCGAAAGCCAAAATAAGGCTCCGGATCCTAAGCAGGAACAAGACCGTCAGCAGCAGGAGATCCAGCGGATTATTCTCGCTCAGGCCGCTTCAACATATCAGTCGATTGGCGAGTCGTTCGCCCGTGAGCACGACGACAGCAATGGGTACGTCTCAGCACTGAAACTAGGGAAAATGAATCGCACCTCTGCCAGCGCAGCCATTATAACCTTCGACTTCAGAGAGTACTTTGCTTGTCAATCTTAGTTGTTTCTACCGTTGTAAATGCAACTGAGAACTGAGAGATTGTAATTGTTGCGAAGCACTCCGAAAATGCTAGTTATGGAGAGTCTTTCTCCAAAACCCTACCTTTTTTTTCAAGGTATAAGAAAATGTTTGGCCATCTTAAGACTACTTGGTGGCTATTTAAAGCACTCCTAGTAGTTATTTTTCTGACTTAGTCTACTTACATGAATTTAGATCTCCTGAACTCGACGATGTTGGTATTCTCGATACCTCAACGCCAAACGTCCCTGTCGGAGAGGTAAATGGGGTAGTGGACGGTGATGGTGTGGCCGATTCGAGTGACGGAGGACTAGGTCCTTCTGAGGAGCAAGTCCGCGCATCCATGATACACCTCCTGAACCCAGTGCTGGGTAGCGCATTTGGGGTGAGCAATTCGACATTTGGACCCACTTTAGATGTGGTTGCGGCGAGAACCGCCTGTTTTGTACCACAACAGACGTGATTGCTTTCAGTGGATCGTTATGATTATTTTACTATTTTTTAACCCCTATCTTTACTTTTTACGGCTTGTTTCATTTATGCTATGTCTTTTTTAGAGGTTGAGTAGGATGAGTGTGAATAGAAAGATTGTGGTTCTTCTTAGAGCTTCTATTGCTTTAGACGGAATAGTTAGGCTCTCACTTTGGCTAGTGAATTAAGAATTCATTAGTGCGCAACGCTGCAGATGGCAGCAGTAGATGCGTCAGATGAGTTATTAGTAGGGCAAACCTCTTCGGAAGACTGGTCACCAGGCTAAGAAACATCGCGCAAGCACAGTCGACTTCAGTCTTCATCATCTCCACCATCTTCGAGCTTAAGGCGATAGAGACAATTATTGCAGAGGTAGCGAATGATTTCGCAGTATCGAAATGTCAAAGTAACGTCACATTTATTCTTGGAGAATTGAATTTGGATTACTTAAAATTGAACCGATATGATCCGAAATGAATCCAAAGAATGAATTTTCGTTGCGAGAGCAAACTATGATAAATATGCAAGGAGAAAACTGTTGTTAATTTAATTTAACAATCCTACGGAAGAGATTACTGCAGAATTGGAGAAATTTTCTAATGGTTTCGATTTATTGACACGAAAGTCTTCAACCCAGGACGTACTAGACATAAGGGCCAAGTCATCACCAACGGTGGCGCGAAAACTCTACGCTGATTGTAGGTTCACGCTTTGAGTTACTGCATTATATGCTCGTCAACCACTACAGCTCCTGGAATGGCATATCTTCGCGGCAGATTACGCGTGGAATAGAAATGTGCAAGAAGTACGGAAATTCCAATAGAGAAAATAGCGAGGATATGAGCATCGAAGAAATATAAGAAAGCATGTGTCACTTATGAGAAGTGAGAAACGCCAAGCACCTTTCAGAGACATCGGTCAGACTTCTTGGTAGATGCATGCTCTCGAACAAGAGCCGACTAGTGGTTGCTGTAGCGAACATCACACTACATTTCAGGATGCGAGATTTTGTTCTTTGTGACAGAATTGACGAACTACGTTCTTCTCACGTCGAGGAATCCAAATTTTCTGGGTGGATGGCACAGCGTCATTATAAGTGAGAAGGGTAATGCCTAAGAAAAGACGAGAATCGGAGGCGTAAGAAAGCGAAACAACATAAACGACATTGTCAAATTGATGGAGATTCATTTCCATGGAACTGAAGAGAACAAAAACTTTGAATATGATGTTATCGATGTTGATTATGATAACACCCTCGAAAAATTTCGAAAATGAGGAATTTTGCTGTGGTTTGATAGCAGAGAAGTAGGTGGTATGAGACTGAATAAAAATCTTTCGAAATTATCATAAGGGAATCGAAATTTATTTGTGGGTGCCTACCGATGCATTAAATAAGTGTATCCTTCAGCGGAATTCTGATACTGCTTTCCCGACAGCAGATGGATGGAGTATTTGACTAGCCTAAGGGTAAAGTGTCGTACCATTGACAATGTGTATATTACACACCACCTCTAGCCTTACACTACTACTTTGCGCTTAGATTCGCACGGACAGGGTGCATAATGTCTTCGAAGTGATTAGGTTTTCTGATACAAACGCTTTTGACCCCTATATACTCACTTGCTTCCATACATGAGACGCCCATTATAAAGAATGGTGCGACAAACAGTACATTTCGTATGAATATATCCTCTCATCGTGTATGTGGGTGTTGCAAGAGGCGCTTTGATTGTCGTGGAGTCCATTGTACGGTTCTTTTCTTCCGTCTGTCATCTGTTTCTTTTTATATGACTGACCCATCTATGTTTCGCTAGCGACGTAAAATCTCCGGGATTTTGAAGATGGGATAAGTTTTGAGAATCTGAACTGGGCATACCAAATAGACGTTTTACGAGTTAATGAATCGAGGATATGAGCTCTGAGTTTCAGGTCTGTTGGCTGGTCGGTGGATACTCCGGGAAATCTGAATGAGACTTATGCTGCCCTAGTTTTCTGTGTAATTCCTCCTTCGTGTTATTCTCTACATTAACTGAACGCCGACGACACACGTACGAGGTGGTCTGAGTAATCAGAGAATCATCCAATTTAACTTGCTCATCTTCACACCATAGGCTCTTCATCGTTGGGTTTTCTTTAAAATTATGCGTGGTACTCTCTTTTTCCGGTTATATCGAGCCCACTGAGCATTGTTTCTGCTTTGCTGATGCTTCTTGGAAAGATTACAATGTCGTCGACGAAAAGAGGATTTGACACAACTTTTCCATGAATGCGCATGCAGTGAAAAGCTTTGTTCTCGTTGTGCAATTACGGTAACAATCAGCTGAAGTTCTTGTGTAGAATGTGTCTGCTGTTTGCTCGACAACCGCTAATAGGATTGCATTGGAAAAAAAGTAACACATGAAATGCTTTGATCCTTACAACCTCAAGTCGAGGCAGCGAAGAAAATCCTTTATTCTAATGAGTTGAATGAGTTGCCCTACGGTTAAGAAATATGAAATCAAATGCGAAGAAATGAACATCTTTTGTATGTAGAGCATAGAAGCTACCACTATTCAAAATATCCTGAAAGATGTGTCGCAAGTGTCTTCACAATAGGAAGACTTTCAAAATACATTGCACAGGAATAGATATCTTTCCTGCAGCAAAAGGGTTTGGATGTGATTAGCTCACCATGGGATAGACTCCTACCATAAGGCGTTTCTCTTCATGAAGAGTTACTTCAACTGTTTAACCGTATGCTGATGGTGGGACAAAATTTACCATGTTATCCCAAAACAACTGTAATCGCTCTCATTTGTTCGGAAATGTTAAACTTTTTCCTAGCTTAGGAACAGTGGTGACTCTGCTACGTAAGGGAGAGTTGAGAAGACTGTTGAGTCGAAGAGATGACCACGAAGTTATGAGTCCGTTACGAGAGGTTCGGCGACTTCTTTGGGGATCAGTTGGGGCCTGTGCTGCTTTTCCTGTTTTGTCCAATTCAGGCTTTATGTGTCCATGTTCATCCAAGATGCACATCTATGTAATTAGAAAATCATCCAGTTCGTTTTCTTCGCCATTTAACCATGGCTTCTTCATGAACCGAGTTTTCTTCTTATCTATGCAGAGGTCAATCCTTTTTCCCGAATAGTTGGGCTCATTTGACATGGTCCCTGCTTCGCGGGTACTTCTTCAAAAGATGACGATACTGTATGCGAAACGAGAATTTGATGTGAATTTTCCTCCAGTGTGCATGATGTTCTCGTCCCAATCGAGTGACATCATTTCCCGCTGCAATGCGGCAGCAAACACCTTTGGCCATACTGTGCCGCCTTGTCGAACCCTTTTTCCTATAGGTATGTTGAGGACTCGATAAAAACTGTATATTTATGCCGCAGTTCCGATAACAATTTGCTAGTGTTCGTATATAGGATATGCTCGTTTCTTGGACGACGAGCGCTGGTAGGATTGAATTCGTTTCGACGCTGTCAAGCGCTTTCTCGTAGTTGATAAAGGTTAGAGCAAAGGGCAGATGGTGCTCCCTACGTGCTTCTACGGCCCGAGACATGGTATGGATGTGGTTTAAGCAGCAGAATTGCTGTCAGAGTCCTGTTTGTTCAGCTAGTTGCGGCTCATAGAAGGTCTTCGATGTGCGCCCTGCCTGTTCAATTGGTTGTAGCTTATACAAGGGTCTTCGATGTGCGCAAAAGGATATTCCTCGTGAACAGTTTGAAGAATACACTCAGAAACCATATTGGACTGTGATTACGAAGATCCATTCTGTTACCCTTCTTGAGTAGCATAACCATGCGCGAGGTTCTCCACTGGCTCAGGATTTTCTTTTTCTTAAGATAAGATGTCATGTGGACTGTCAGAAGTGCATGTACTTTGAGGCCACCAGCGCCACAGAAATCGGTGATGATATTATCCGACTGTGTAGCTGCGCCTCTCAGTGCTTTCTTTAGCAACTCGAACATTAGAGGGTGGAATCCCAGGCGTTTTTTCACCAGAGAGGATTTCAGAGTCTGAAACGGAGATGGTGGAGCGGAAAAGGCATATGTTAACTTTTCCGTGTCAGTTCTACATCATGTCAAAATGTAACGGTCGTCCCATCCTTAATCATTAGGGCGGATAGCGAAACGTTATATTTGCAAAGATCCTGACGACACTTCTTCAGAACGGATAGTGTTTGAGCTGCTTCCAATAACTTTTTTGCCTTTAACGATAGATACATATATATATATATATCCTCCTACGCAAACCTTCTACACCTGGCATTTATTATTTGGCCGTGTTAGATGTGTTTCAGTAGTAGGATCAAGTTTCGCTGTCTTTCTCTTTTCGAGCAACCCCTTGGTGATAATGAAGACACGGTGTGAACATCTCTTTTGAGGAAATGGAGCGAGTTGGGCTCAAGTTTTACTTTCGACAACCAGCGTGTAGTCCTTGCTCGGGTGTTCACTTGTGTGCCAGTCATATGAAGAGACTATTTTGTTGAGAATATCCTTGTCGTACGCGGCTTCTTCCGTTTTTCTTAGAGGATGACAGGAGTTCTTTTCCAGCCCACGACTGAATCAAGTATTCGCATGAAGAAGACTGTGATCAGATCCTATACAGAATCGAGGTACCACTAAAGTGTCAAAAAGGCACCATTTTCTATACGTGAGAATGTGATCCATTTCCGCATGAGTCGCGCCGTCTGGAAACTCCCATGTCCACAGGCGATTTCCTCTCCTCGAAAAGTGAAGTCCCATGGAACAAACTTGCTGCGGAACCCAACTTGTATAGCCGATAGTTATACTAGGCGGTTTCCGTTCTTATTTCATTCCCCTATTCCCATTTTCTTTCATTTTTGCTGGTCGTTCCTAATTTGGCGTTGAAATCTCCAACAACGAATATTCTAGTTCGCTCTCATCGGCTATACAAGTTGGTGAGTAACAGTTGGTGACAGTGACTTTCTTTTGACGCACAAATTGGGGACGATGGATAGCCAATGCGGTGGTAGGATTTCATATAAGGTGACTAGATGGGAAAAGGTGAATGAAGGACAAAGCCAACGCCTGCGACATTTCTTAGCGGAAATATTCCTCTCGAATGGCAAGGATTCCATCATCTAATTGACATATGTCGATTCTTCTAATTTTCGTCTCTTGTTGGCCAATCACGTAGAATTTGATGTGTAGTTCCTTGAAGGCCCGAGCTCACCCTAGCTGAAGCATTCCACAGGTCACTACTCCAGGCAGTCGCTGCCCTCATGCGTCAGAGAGAGATTTGCCACCATGCTAGTAGTTTGATAACAGAACGGCAGTAATTACTCGCATTAGTTTACTCTTAGTTGGGTTTTCGAATGCAAACGTCGCGCTCGTTCTCAGCTTGAGAGACCTTGCTGCGAGGATGAAGCCTCCTCTTCATCGCAGCTCAACACTCAGAAACACCTCCAAGTTACGATGAGGCGCTAAACCGTTGGAATATATATGTATATATATGCATATATATGTATACATGCATGTATATATGTGTATATATGTACATATATATATGTATGTATATATATATCCAATCACAATATTGCTGAGATATTTGCAAAACTCCGGACCGCAGGTGTGCGCGAGGGGAACGAACGCGCTATTACTCTTTCCGGGGGTTAACGCGTTCACCACCGCACCATACGTCCTTCTTTTTGCCTGTCTCTCAACTAGTTCTATTGATCAGTGCCATCATCAATCACCCGTCGACGGGATTGATCTGGGTGGGTAATGCCACTGATTGATAGAACTAGCTGAGAGACAGACGAAACGGAGGAACCGCATGGTGTGGTGGTGAACGCGTTAGTCCCCCGGAACGGCTAATAGTGCGTTCGTTCCCCGCCGCAGACATCTGTGGTCCGGAATTTTGCAAATATCTCAGCAATGTTGTGGCTGTTTTTCGCTTAATACTCTGTCGTAAAAATTGTAGTAGGCAGAAAATAAAAAGTAGGTATTATATATCCAATGTTTTCGCATCCTCTTTAATAGCAAAGTTTTAAATGTACCAAATCGTTTTGTGGTGGAAATTACTGCTTTACAGAGCTCACTGATAGAAGAAGTGAACAGCAATAAGCGTAAAGGTGAAGAAAGCGGAAGTGTCGGTGGATCCTCGAAGAAGCATCGATGGATGACTGTCGATGAACTTGAGGAAAGCCGCTTCGGCAGAAGTAAAAGCTACGGCAGAGTGCACTGTAAAGCCACTTACAAATGCGCGGCAAGTTTCTCTTTCCGTTGGTTCCAAGTATTTCTGTTCTATTGAAGTTCACATGATTTGACCAAAATCTAAGTTTTTAAGTTCACCAAAGTATTGCTTTCGATGTTTCCTCAAAAAAGCAGCTGTATTAAGACGAGCTAGAACTATCGGCTGTTCGACCACTGCGAGCCGACAAGATTTAAAAAAAGATCACTAACAAATAAATATAGTATTTGCGCTGAGATAAGACAATAGAGTTAAGTCCTCTCTATAATTCTGTGGGCTTCTTAACCTCTGCGCTATTATACTAATGAAAAAATTATCGTCTGTTGTCGATAAACCAGCTTCGTCGCGAATGTGTTAGAATGTGATTTGTTGGGACGGTGGAAAAAACAGTTTATGCAAGAGATAATTGTTAATAGCTGAGAACTCGTCCCTCAGAACACAAGAAACGCCGTTGAAAGTCAAGTACAGGTTCGTATTAACAAATAGGAATGAATATAAATGCAATCGAATCGTATAACGGAGAAGAATGATTAAACAGGCTACTAGAAGGACGGAAAAATATATGCGTGACGTTCTTCAAACCTCCACACATTGGTTCAACCTCATGTTGTTTTTCTTAGATCATTTTCTAGTGATAACGTCGTCAATCTTTTCGTAACACTAGTGATAGTCGAAAACTGTGAGCGTTAGTGCATAGGTTATACTTTTTCGACTGTGGAATACTAGAATAATATTATACGGGCGCATGTGGCGCAGTGATCGCAGGCGCCATGCAGCACACACGTGGAGTCGACTCCCTTGCCCATGCCCCACTAAGCCCTCCATCCCCCCGGAGTCGGTAAATTGGTACCAGACTTGTCTGGGAGGGTAGCAGCACTGGCTCGATGTATCGGTAGGCCACCGCTAGTCATTGTAAAGGCCAGATATGCATCCAATCATCTCCAAACGATGCTTAATGAAGTCGAGTGCATAGCGCATCCCTCAGAGATTGTTCAGCGCCGAGAGCATTGTCCTTTTATCCTTTATTAGAACAATATGATGAGACGATGTTTTCAGAGAAAGTCCATCATCTGGCAAACTTCCTCTCCAGTTGAGAAAATTACATAAAAACTTCTTCTAACGTGTAGAATAAGGATTGAACATAATTCGCATATATCTGGTACTTTAATTTACAGTTTGTCGTTTACAGTTGTGTGGAAAACCGACGACATTGAACTCGACGGGTTCGCGGTGGAATTTGCTGCGACACGTGATCATGATCCACTCGGATTCGAAGCCTTACCAGTGCTGGGACTGCGACTTCATCGGGATCAAGAGCAATGTCATCTCGCACGCTCGCCAGACGAACCACCGCAGTGACGACGCGCACGACATAACGTCAGTCGGCATTTATTTCTGCTTTCACAAAACTGGACCGCGTTCTGGTGGAAAGTAGTGAGCGTCATAGGTCGTGCCGATTGCGAATCCTTATCGCAGCATAGTAGCAGGCATAAGTATCGTTTCATAAGATCGAAGTGAGTAGGAGACAGACACTTTAACAAACAGTGATTTTCTTACTAACTTGTCTTTCATGACGTTGTCCAGAATCCAGTGTCTTTGTAAAGCTTATATCCAATCTTAGTTTAGCGGTGAACATTTATTGGGGTATTTTTATAGAAATGTAACATTCTTTCTTTATCTGCAAACTAAATCTTCCAGGACGGATTTGATGCGCAGCGAATGGAACACGATGCTCCACCAATGCTTTCCCGACTATGTGAAAGCGAAGTCTCGTGGTTGGCAAACGGGTCACGACGAGGCAGATGGCGACTTGATCGCGCCAGCCATCGAGTCTCCGGAAATCAAATCAGAAGAGTGACTTTGTCCAGTTTTAATAGGACAACTGCACAAATGGTTACGATTCTTCGTATTAAAGCTACGAAAAGGAAAGACGCTATTGTTTTTATACGAATTTCATTGTTGGCTCCTCTTTTAGTGATAACTTCGAGAGTTCTTTTTTTTCGTTTGATTTAGCCACTTACTTGTTTATAATATTTCTGTGACAGTTCCTCTTGCCAGTATTTCGTTTCACTTGCCTGTGTTGTGATACACCGAAGTGTTGCCTTATTGTTATTTGTTGCCTTGTGTACCGAATTCTCCCTAGACGGGTGCTTATTTCTCTGTATACCACTAAAGCCTTATTCACATATATGTCTATGAAGCATGTGATTGTAGAGTTTTCGATTATATAGCAGTTTGTGTTTTACCTCCGAAGATCATGAAGTACATTTTTGGAAGACCATGTCAACGTTTTGTCTTGTAAAGTACGTCTTGTGACAATGAAGCGTTCACTAGGTGTAGATTCAATTCACTGAGTTTCGCTATCCACTGATGGATTTTAGCGTTACATGCATGCCACTCAGCTAGGTAACACCTATTACTGAAGCTGCAGCATGCTGTCGTTGAGACGCTTTGTTACCCAAGAATTATCCTATAATCCAACGAAATAAGTGCAGCTATAAAGTGTTGCTTAAAAAGGGCCGATTTGGAGTAATTGCTAGCAGTGATTGAAATACTACCAAACACTCTAAGACACCAGCTAGGCTGTAACCCTGTGCATGGTCGTCTATGCGAAACCCACAATTCCATAATTTGTCCTAACTGCAGAGATGATGATTACACGAGTTTGGGAATGGTGCACTTGATTTCATGTAAAGCATGTGGGACAAATAACGCTGGCGAAACAGGATAAAACTCACCATCCTAGTGCAAAAGTCCAAAATATCGGCGCGTAAAACTCGGAGCGTTTCGGTCAGAATTTAAAAATCCAAAGGTGAACCACAGCGAAGAGTGCCTTGTGATCACGAGCGACCTAGCGTCTTACCACCGTGATTTTTCGACCTGAACCAGACACATTCCTAACCCATGTAGTAATCTGTGCCGCTGGTCTCCAACAACTGGAAGACTTACAACGAGCGAAACGGTGTGTTTAAAAGAAGCTGTTTATTGTGCGGATGACAATTTGTCTACTATATTTTATCTATCTGCCGTGGTTATTAAGCATTTAACTGAGTGAATTCCGTGTCATCTTGATGTTTCCAGGCTCTGAAGAAGGAGAAATATGCCGAAACGCCAATTTTTTGTGAATAAAGCATAAATTAACAATGTTATGTTTGCTCATCAACAGAACGGTGAGTTACTGACCAATGTCGAGCTTAAAAGAAAGTCGGTATTGGGATATCCCAGCACCATTAAAAAATAACTGCGTTTATGTGTTATAACTTCATTCTCATCAAGACAAAGCCAAAGATTATGATCGATGAAGTGCGGTGGAAATTGTCTTCAAGACGGATGCTTCACATTAAACAGTTTTTCAACAACCAAATCTTCAGCATAAGCCGGGAATTCAACAAAGTTGTGCAGCTAAAGATTAGCGGTCAACCAGTCAGTGTTGGAACGAATTATGCCACTGCTTTCCAGATAGGAATATCATTTTAACAAGCAGCTTGTGAGATGAGTCGGTTTTACTCGTTCAAACTAGGGAGTAGTGCAAGACAAGAGAATTATATGCGAAAAGAGCTCTGTAGAGCAACTGATCTACAACTGAACAAATATGTGGTTGTACAAGTTCGAAGTGAAGGTGAAATGCCCGAGCACGGGTAGCTACAGACGCCTCTGAGTCTCACCTCAACTGTAGTTTGAGAATTTCTCAATCAATAGACAATTTCTTATCGATCGACCTAACAAATAATTCTTTGCTTTCATTACAAAATCTCTTGCACTAATCATTTATTTGTGGTTGTTACTCCCGTCTTGTGGGATTGTATATCAAATTACTTGTCACAACGCCAGCTTGCCTACCCTACATTCATACCTCTCAACCATCGGGCACGCTACGAGGCACGCTACCGGGCATGGCTCACCTCACTGCTTGGGGATTTGGCCCGGTGATCATCATTCGCTGGTAGGTAGTTACGCCCACTAGCACTGTCATTTTCCATCCTATGATAAGTGAGGTCGCCGGCGCCATTCCTCATCATTTTTTTCTGGCTTAATCGTCTTGTTTAGCAAGGTCTTTGATTTGCCTAGGCTAGAATAGTGTTAAATAAAGTTTCACTCTCTTTCACCATGGATATATTAATGTCGCTATCAATGCTGATGTAATCACTGCTCGTTGTTAATCTAGGAACTTTTTCAAACACTTGCACTCTTTCACTCTACTAAATTCACCATTGCTACATCAATTCATTTATTTACAAATCCGCTGCGCCCTAAATATCTCTTGTTGTATGTGTCGAAGTGTGAATTATCCTGTTCATTACACTGTCACTCCGCAGAAGCTCCTTTTTCAGCACCAGCACAACTCGTTCACCACTGTGTCATTTTTCCACAGTGATCATGTGAATACTTAAGCTGTTGTACTTATACTAATGTTGTTTCATGTGCAGTACTTTCATTTGTGCTTTCATGCTCTCACAAATCTCTTGCGTTACGCTCCATGTGATTGTTACGGCAATCTCTTGCGTATACTATCACTGTCCCTAAACCAATATAATTTGAAAATTGCTGCATTTTCAACTTCACAGCGTGATTGAACTTTATGAATATGAAAGTTTAACTACCTCTTTGACGTTTGAGGTATCTTCTATGCAAGCGGAAACAAGTCCAGCGTGGCAGTTACGAAAAGTTTTGATGCATCGGCCTGACGACTGAAGCCAACCAGTTGAGCAACGAACAACGAAACAAATCATAGTGCGGTGTAACTCAACGAAGCACGGAATAAGTTACGTTCATAATTCCTTAGACAGGAAAAAAAAAGTGAAAAAAGCCTTTTCCAAACACCAAACAGTATCGACCAGAGCAGCGAATTGCCTAAAAGAGCATTTAAGAGAATATGAAAACTTGTTAAAAACCCCGCTAAACCCCCGCACAACCAAGCATATGTTTATAGAGAGTATGTTACCGTCCTGAAAAGTAAAATAAGAGATCCTAACCTTTTTATTTACTGCCTATTCTTTTTAACGGCAGGGTATTTTGCGAAATATAGCTACTGCAATGCTGAGATATTTGCAAAACTCCGGACCGCAGGTGTCCGCGATGGAAAACGAACGCGCTATTGCCCTTTCCGGGGAGTAACGCGTTCACCACTACACCATGTGGGCCCTTCGTTTCGCCTGTCTCTTAGCAATAGCGCGTTCGTTCCCCACCGCAGATACCTGCGATCTGGCCTTTTGTAAATATTTCAGCATTGTAGTAATTAAAATACGCGAAGCAAAATTAATGCTTGACACTGACATCAAGAACATGCCCTTGACAACTGTTAGGCAATACTTTTCCAACTTGATACCAAGTTATCCACAGAAGATATTCAAAAGAAGCTCACTTGAGTACGGAGAGATCGTTAGATCTACTGGTTACAGCAGAAACAACTCACCAATCTTCTAATCCTCGAGGACAGGTTAGAGGCAACCCAGCAAACGTTACGGAAGTCGTCTCACCGGTAACAACGTTGCCATCTGATCCTATTCCCAATATCAGCGGAGACATAAGAGAGTGGGGAGCACCTTGAGGGGCATTTAATCACATAGTTCTTTCGTGCCAGATAGATAACCTTAAAAAACTGTCGTAGTTCCTTGACGAAAGAAATCTTGCATAGCAGTTGTGAAAAGACGAATACTCAACTTCAATGATGAACCCGTACAAATTTTGGGAGCCTCAATAATAGTAAAAATCGTCCAGATTGCTCGTCTTGAAGTTTCCGTCACTTGGGGCTTTTATTGAGTGTTAGGATTCCTCTCCTCCTCAAACGTGAATAGTTAGACCTTCATGCGCATAATATTCACACGAAAATAATACTGTGAAGCTGGAAATGCAACAATTTTCAACGTACATTAGTTTAGGGACATTAGTAGTATACGCAAGGCATTGCACTAACAATCCCATAGAGCATAACGCAAGAGATTTATGAGGGTATGAAAGTATGAATAAAAATACTGCTTATGTAACAGCATTAGCATAAGTATAACAGCGTAATGGGGCGTACAGCACAGTGGTAGTCATTTTTGTCAACGCGAGCATGATGCTGGTTCGATTCCGCTCCGGGCTAACCAAGCCTTTCAATCCACCCGGGTCGGGAGATTGGTTCCGGACTTGCCCAGGAAAAAATCACTCTCTGCAATCCAATTGGGAACGCTCCAGCCCGGTTATCTCAGGACTCCAGGGCGAATTGCTCGACCGACATTCTACGACATTCAAGATGAAGTGGAGATCGTCAAGCAGCAACCGAAGCCATACGCAAAGTTGGAAGATCTTCGTTGATAGTGGATGCGAGGAAACAAATTGAATGCGAGAAGTGCTGGGTTCCGCACAGTAGACGTGAAGGCGGATCAAATAAAATAAAATAGAAAAAACAACTGCGTAAGTATTCAAATGATCACTGTGCAAAATGACATAGTAATGAACAGGTTGCCCTAACGACGAGAAAGGAGATTCTGCGAAGTGACAATGTAATGAACAGGATAATTCACACCTCGCACAGCGCAGCGGAATGGAAGTGGTGTGTCAATGGTGAATATCGCAGAGTAAAAGAGTGTAAGTATTTGAGAAGGTTGCTAGATTAGCAACGACTAGTGTTTACATGAAGATTGATGACGGCATTAACATATCGGTGATGCAAGAGAGTGAGACTTTATTTAACATTATTGTACCCTAGGTATATCGAAGATGTTTTTAAAGCAGACGATTAAGTCGGGAAAAGGTGATGAGGAAGGGCGACGAAAACTCCACTCATCATCAGAAGGAAAATGACAGCGCTAAGGAGCGTAACTAATATGTATCAGCGAATGACGCGGATGGCAGGGTCAAATCCCCAAGCAATGAGCAGTGCACGGTAGCGTGCCTCGTAGCATGCCCGATGGTTGACAGGTATGAATGTAGGGGGTGGGCACGCTGACGTTGTGACAAGTAATTTGAGATACAATCCCACATGACAGGAGTAACGACCGCAAATACACACGTAGTACAAGAGATGCTTTAACGAAAAACAATGAATATTTGTTAGGCAGAAAAGAATAAAGCTCTCGGCGTTGATCAATCCCTGAGGGATCAATCAGGCATTCGACTTCATGATGCATCGTTATAGGTGATTGAATGCATATTTGACTTTTACAACGGCTCGCAGTGGCTTACTCGAGGCAGTGCTGTTATCCTCGCAGACAAGTCCGGTACCAAGTTGCAGATCCCGAAAGGTTGGATGGCTAGGTGAGCCCGGAGTGTGGAGATCGACCCCATGTTTATTCCAAGGTGCCCCTGACTACTGTGCTACGCGCGCGCTTTCATTCCTTAGGTAGATAGAGACCACACCACATATAGAGCGTTTCTATTTCAATAGAACTCTTTATCTACCTAAGAAATAAAGGAATAAGGCAAGCTATTATTAAATTATTGAGTCGGCTTTAAAGACCGTTAGTTTAAATTCGACAGTTTCTGAGCGTCTAATATTGTAACAAAGTGTAAAAAACCCATTCGTTGTTCAGGAAATAAAGCTCAAGGTTGGCATCAGTTGACAGCGCTACAGACCACCATCACTTTTGAGGAAAACTATAAAGAAATTCGGAATATTCTGAAATCCGAGAAGCTTATGAGAACAGCTACTCCAAATCCCGAAGTAAACATATAGGGCAAAATCTTGTTCTTCCGCTGTTTCTTGCACAGTTCAACGCTTTTGGTTGCCCGAGGCGTTTAAGTGGCAAAACGACGGCGCTAAATATGAAGCATCAGCAGATCACTGTTATGA